TTTGTGCTTGAAATCACTTGGCGAGTGTTGTGGAAGGTTTTCAAATTCCCCAAAGTGCGAAGTCACAGCCGTCTTGACATAGCCTCACCCAAACTCACTAACAAATCAATGAAGGCGCGCATACTATCTCGATTATTGTATAGATCGACCTACCAATTGTCGTGTTAGTTTAACATCGTGTTTGGTAATAAATAGTACATGTATGGCCAACAAAAATGCTTTTAACAAAGTTATACTATGGAACTTTGCCCATGTATGGATTTTAGTTATACCTGAACTCACAGGCTGCACGTGGGATTCTAAAATTTCGCGTGCTTACTTTATTATTATAACCTCGTGTAGGCGCTCTAGCCTGTAGTTAACCGTACTTCGAACGTGAACGAAAAGTAGGTTGTTATACCCAACAAACTAACCTATGATGGGTTCAATATTTAATAAAGGGAATTTGCGTTTGCTTGTTCTAACGGCAGATGACGGAAATGAAACATCGTGTCCAGATGAAAGGCTCTTCCCTGGCGGTTAACAGTTTTATGAAGGGCCTCCTGTCACTTTGAAATGGAGCTACTCTCTATCGTCACCCCTAAATTACGGTGTCATAAGATGCGATGGTACTGGCACAAACAACTACAAAAATATTTTTATTCCAGTTTCAAAAGACAATCACAATCTACCCTACAATACACTGGAGCAGCTAGTTGTGTTACCTACAATATTTCTAACTACGTACTTTAATTAAGATATCACACTTTTTTGTGGTACATTTCTTTTTCTTTTCCAAAAATACAATCAAGAAAAGAGATTTGCTGCAGCTTTGTTCATCGGCTAATACTATGGAAATTCAAGCTAATCTGTGTTTCAGTTATTCTTTCCAAATGAATTTAAAAATGGTCGAATTCCCACCAAGGTTAGAGATCGTATGTAAATGTTGCAGGATGCGAAGACTCTGCGATATAAGATATCTACCGCCTCCCGGTTAGCTCAATTAGTAGAGCTCCGGACTGTTGTGCGGGAGGTCGTGAGTTCAAATCCGGCCGGACCAACACTCAGGGTCTTTAAATAACTGAGAAGAAAGTGCTGCCTTTGTAATAATATCTGCAAATGGTTAGACTTTCTAGTCTTTTCGGATAGGGACGATAAATGGAGGTCCCGTCTCACAAGCCCTTGTATATAAAAAAAAAAAAAATGTGGGATGTTAAAGAACCCACACACTGTTCGAAAAGATTAGGGTACGTAGTGCCCGGTGCTGTGGTCTATCTTTGTGTAGTGTCTATCAAATTGATGGGGGGTACTGCGCCTTTGAATATTGTATAGAAAGGGCGCAATATGAATAAGGATTCATTCATTCATTCATGCCAAATAGTGCAAGACTCCTGTGGCTCCATATAACTGGCGTGGTCTTCAATCATCTGCAGTTTTAACGTGAATTTTTATGTTTCGTTTTCTTCCTCGTTGTAACAAATAAAATTACCCGAGGCGCGTGTTGGTTTGTCAAGTCACACGTGTGAAATCCAAACGGCTCGTCCTTTCTATGGTTCCACGCTACCACCCATAGAGCTTTTATTTTCCAAGGGTTCAGTTTCAGGCAGGAGATATCACCAAAGTTGTCCAGTAAAATAATTGTATTTTTTTAACGAGTTGTTGTCAGTAAGGGTGCTATCATTAGCGAACTGAACGTGTTTAAATTTAGCTCTTCACCTAAACTTTTTGCACTTGATTTTTTTTATCTTGTATGATATTTCCCGCTTACAGCTCTACTGCCAAAACTTGGGATAAAGGGCAACCTTGTCTTACTCCTCTTGACAGATAAACAAATTTGTACGGACGCTCTTCTTCAAGAATGAACTTTCTGTGTTCAAATAACAGACAGAAATCTAGCGTTGAAAAGATCCCCCGAAAACTAAGCCATGCAATTGTTCTTTGTTTTGTATGAATTCCCATCAGAAGCGGCCTTACTAAATGCGAGCTGAAGTAGCACATCCAGAATTTTCTGAAGCTTTGTTCCCTCAGGAATATCGCCACTTAGCCAATTTTTTTGTCAAATACATCTGCCTCTAATGACACCTGTTTGGTCAGGGTCATTAAACAGGCAGAGGGTTAATTATGGAGGCTCTGCGTTGCTTTGCTTTCAAACAGTTTGCTGGGTATACTTGGTTCCGTCATTAACGCAGTATTGAACGTTCACGTCAAATAACATAAGGAAAAGAGTACAGATCTCGTAGGGCCTCAAGGGTTTTCACTTTATCCTTTGCTCTACGAGGATTTATTCGGCAAGATCGTCAACAGTAATGTAAAGTAGATCGTTGTAATTATCTAAATCTAACAGCCCCTGTGAAAGAAAAAAAGAAAGGAAAAAAGTGTTTTCTATTTGAAGTCTTCTATGTTCTGATAAGCTTGCGATAAACCTCTTTTCACAATGACTGTTAATCCTATGTAAAAAGCATATTGGTGGTACAGTTAAATTCAAAAATAATCTAAATGAATTCAATATACAGGGATACAAAACTTTCATAATGAGGCTACAACCACTGAATTTGATGTCGTTAGATTCCAGCGTTCAAATTCTCGAGAAAAGAGATAATACATGTTCCCGGTTTTAAGAGTATTTCATGAAATCTACAATCTCCTTTCCAAGAACCGAACAGGATTTGGTGCTTGTGCGAGAACATCGGGTGGAATTCCGATCCGTCACTTTTATCTCAGAATTTTAGTTCAAGTAGCTTCGAAAGGTGGTAGTCTCACTCAAATATTTTTTACAGCATTAAACTACCTTAGAGTAGTACCCTGTGAACTTGAAGTTGACGCTATTAGACGCATGTGTGTTTTAGACTCTGAGTAAACTCTAATAATCTACCTTGTGCTGGTTTTCGATTTCTTTCAGCTCGTTCCTCAAGTCCTCAAAAGATGGTCTCAAGTTAGGGTCGTCTTTCCAACAGTTTGTCATTATGTCATACCTGAAACAGAAAGACGTCGGGAATTAATAATCTCAACTAGGGCGTTGTAAGGTGTAAAATGCTGCAGTGGTTTTTCTTTTTTTTTTCGAAATGTACTTTAGGAAAAATTAGTCCTTTCCTTAATGATCACAAAAGAAAAACTCGTGATTGTCGAATTATTCAAACAGGGCTGAATGAGAAAGCAAAACCGGTTTAATTTTGAGCTGCTAATGTGACTTGAACAAAACGAACTTATCCGAATAATTCTGTTGTGGGAAAAAAGCCTAAAAGAAAAATTAAAATAAAATTAAAGAAAAAAATTCATACAACTTATCATCCACGTGTTGTGGTTTAGGCATTTTGTATCCCCCTTCTAGCAATGTTAAAACTTGTCTTCCATCCATCTTTGGATACGGTGAACCACCTAAAATAGAGCAGTAGCAGTTAATTAACGCGATAACAACAAGTTTTAAGTCCAGTGATTATGATACTCTGAAATAGCTTTGCAGTTGCAATATTCACGAGAGAAAAAGGTGAATTGTTCATAGAATGATACACCCGCTTACTTCCTGACTACGTGTGAACACAAATGCTAAAACCGATAAAAATTACCCTTCCGTCGGCCTTGTAACTTACCAATCGTAAAAATCTCATACAGGACAACTCCATAGCTCCACCTGTAAAACAAACGGGTTTAATTTAGCGAAATTAGCATTATTTTCCTTAAAAGACAAAAAACACACAAAGCAAATTAAAACAATTTTGAAATCTGCGCCAAACTTTTGTAGGAAAAACAGAGTATACTAGTCCAATGTGCTGATTCCGGGCCAGTACTCATAACTCAAAGCTACAACGTGTATTGCCACTCCTTATGAATGAAATGATTCTATGTCAATGAGATGTCATGATCAAAGTGTACGGAAAAGATCCAAACTTTTTTCAAAACCTGAAAACATTTCGTTCATTTCATTTATGTGGTCCCCTGTACTCACACATCACTTTTCGTGGTATATTTTCCATGCAGCAACGCTTCAAAAGCAGTCCATTTCACAGGGATACGTCCCTAAATAAAAAACACATGCATAAAGAGTTGGTTGGCAAAACTGAACAAAAGAGCAACAATGAAAGTCGTAGCTTTACCCATTACTATACTGATCACTAACCTCTGGATAAATGTAAGTTGACTTATTACAGCAGTGATTTGATATGTTGGGGAGCAGCCAAAAAAGCCAATGATGTACGAGAAACGTAAGAATATAGACCATTATAAAACCTCGCTAATTTCGTTAACAATGTCTGCTTGAAATCGTTTGGTACCTTTGACTTCATTTCATAAATGTTGTCCTCTTGGACATCCCTCGCCATGCCAAAATCTGTTACTTTGCACGTTTCCCCATCTCCAACTAACACATTACGAGCTGCAAGGTCACGATGGATAATCTACAACAAATAAAAACAAATCATTGATGTTGAAACAAATTTAGAGAGTCTAGGAAAATTTAATAAAACACATTCCAAACTTAAGTTTCATCAACTGAATATGAGGTTTCTGCGTACTGGTATGGATGACAAATATGACATTCCATCGGCGACTTGCCACGCAAACTTCGTCAGCTGCCTGGAAGTCAGATTTGTTTTTGGTTTGATATCTGGGTCTTTGTAGTAAGTGTCGTTTAATCCACGGCTCTTTCTCAGGTAACCCAATAGATCTCCATATGGAACATATTCAATCAACACCATCAGTGGCCCTATTGCAAGATATAGGTATCATCATTTCATTCAAGACATACAAGGTACTTTATGATGTCTGGAAACAACGTCCAGATTTCAGTAAATCAACAACCCTACCTGGTAATTGAAGGTTAGTAAGTAATCATAGCTGAGAGTCGAAAGGAAGCGGCGCAAACCACAGATAACGTAAGAACAAGAGCAAATTCGCTCCTAGTCTTCAAACAAAAATTTGAAATCTTAAGCATAGTAAGCATGAAAATATCTCTCTAGTGAGATAGCAAGAAACCCACTCGAAAATAGTTTTATGGCTAGTAAGGTACACTTTTCTTTATTTACCAGATATCGTGACACATCCCAGAAGTTTAATGACATGAGGATGAGGTTCAAGGTGCTTCATCAATTCAAGTTCGGAAAATAACTCCTTCCCCTCTGATTCCGAAGTGTTATCTGTAAGATGATCACCCAGAAGCTGTTACCTTCACAAGCTAATAAATGCAACTGAGCCGAAATAAGTAGCATACGTCCCATTTTACGGCGTGCTCAAGGTAGCTCAATGTCAAGCATGTTATTCAAAATCATAAGGTCAGAAGTTAGATCATGATTTCCTTTATATCATCTCTGGAAAATTCAATTTTTATGGAGCTCTTATAAGGCACAGTAAGACTGACTTAGCTGGACACACAATCCTGCTGCCATAATGCTTAGTTTACATGTATTATCACATTTAAAATATATTGCACCAACGCAATTATCATAGCAAAACTCAAAACCCCTTCACAATTCATCTAGTTTAGGCTTTCAGCAAATGCTATGATAAGCGGCGTACACTTAGGTAAAGCCTTTACTTTTTCATTCCTATTGAGGTTCAAACTCGATAAATGAGGGGTGTTTCATAATTGCCAATGATTTTACTTTAGATGAAAAAAAACCTACTTGTAAGTAAGCTCCTGTCAGGGGGATTTCTGATTATTTTATAGGAAGGTTTTACTGCTTTGATTTAACAAGGGTGGACACCAGCTGATCATAAACGTTCCAGTTTCAAGTTGAGGCCACACGAGAGGCTTTTTACGTCTCGATTGCACTGTCTTTTTATAGTGATCATATTACCGAGGTCACGTATTCTTGACTACTCATTATAAGTTAATTGCAACACTTAACTAACCATGGTCCTACTATTTCAGGCGGGGAGATCGAGCTTTCCTTGCTACTTTCAGGCTGACTGTGCAGACGTTTTTGAAGCTACCTTTGCGCTATCTTAGGAAATTTAAAGAAATTCATATGCTTATTTAGATTTCTTGATACCTTTCAACATCTTAACAGCCACAACTGTCGTCTTTAGTCCTCCATGGAGGCCTTTGACTGTTGCCTTGGCAACTTGACCAAAAGCACCTTTGCCAACGACCTTTTCTATCGTCACGTGGTCTGCAGGAATCTCCCAATAGCGTGAAGATGAGTTCAGAGAAGCGTATTCATTGACTGGCTCGGCGGGTTGTGGACAGTTTCCCTGCCGTGCATCGTGAAGGGAGGGTGACCGAGTCTTCTCATCCAATGCCATGTAATTCTGGCTTTGAGAGGGATCCACCATTTCGAGCTCAGTCTTTAAAACAATACCAATCGTGATCAGAAACCCCTGCTACGTACATATAGAAGGTTACCTGACCTCTTGCAACAAAATGACTTCTTTTCTACACTTATAGCATTTAAACTTACTATGAGTCAAAATTTCAAGTATTCCGCGTTTATTTTTTGTACACTTGCCATGCAAAAGTATCTAGATAATAATTAAAATCACTGTAGTTTCATTGTCTATTAGTGCGCAGTTCATCATGTCATCGGAAACAAAGTTTGTATGAAACTCTCAATTACTTCAGCTGTGTTTTGGTGCATCAGTCTCACTTTGCAGCTGTGGTGACAATAGCGCATTTCTAGTTCTTTCTACATATTGAAGAGGAATATTAAAAAAGGATGCTCCAAAGCTTCTAGCGGAGTGTTTCGTAACTCAGACAGGAAATTATTGAAATAAAAATCATCTTTATCTGTAAAAGCAGCCACTCACATTATCATGTCCTTTTTCTTCCGTTGTTTCTCCATTCGTCCTAAAATGATTAAAAGTAACTTCCTTTTATTATTTTAACTTTCAGAGAAAGTTTTTATATTTTTGGCGATATTCAAATTCAGTGGATAAAACACGAGGAAGATTTGGTAAAACAACAAAACAAAAACAAAAAGAATTAACACTGGAATTGAGCACATCTCAGGGAACTGCACCAATATCAGTCATTAAACGGTTACTGACGGCTTGTCATATTTTGCACTAATTCATTGGCCCAAAGAAGCCAGGTTTAATAAATATCAAGAAATTGACATTCTGTTCCTAGCAATGAGCGGAGCAACTCGGAAAAAAATGATAATTCGATCTGCATAATTACTTTCCTAAAGATACAAAAAATATACTAACAGTGTATCTGCATAACACACACGTAAAGGCCAATATGGTAGTTTTAAAGTCTTTCAGTCGAGGATACTCTCTGATACTGACTCTTAAATGGAGCTCTAGCCCTGACCGTAACTACCGTATATTAATCCATGTGAGACAGACAAATGTAGAGTTGCATAACATATATACTGGTAACACAAAAAGTCAATGGACGGTAATCTCACCGTTCTCTTTTTGCTACCCCTGAAGAGATAAATAAAAAAATAAAACATAAGACTAAAAGGAGGAAAGTAATTAACAAACGGTTAACACCACAGGGTACACTCAAGAAGCTAGAGTCGCTCTCGACTATCACCTCCAGTGACTGTTACGCTTCTTTCGTGCTTACCAACCTCCCAAGCGCATCCATAACTCAATAGTGCATGCTGTTAGCATTTGTTTTATAACATAAAAAAAATTTCCTACGAAACATTTGTTTACATGGAAAGTTTGCTCATGTCAGCAGTGTACATCCATGAGCAATAGCAGACAGTGAGTTCACCAATCAGAGAGAGCGCTTTACGCGATTTATGTTAGAAAAAATTGTAAAGGAAAGATACGAATAAATTCATTCAGAGGCAAAAACAAAATCTTCTCTTCTGAAGTTCATCTATACAACGATTTTTTTTCAAGTCTACTGTGATAATTAAATTTAAAAAAATGATAAAGAAACGTTTTAGATGAGAACACGTTCGCTACGGTTTAGACTTGTGCGTCATATACGCAAAAGAGGACTTGTCTACCTGGCCTCATCTCAACGTGAGGAGGCATGAAGGGTCCGTTTTGCATGCCATGTAACTGTCTCAAAATATTTAAACCTCCTTTGTGTTTAAAGTGCTACTGAAGCGAAAATCAATCCACTGTAAAAAACGATTCATTATTACTTCGACTCCTATTTAATCAGATAAAACGTTTTTAAGCCCTGAAAACATTTTCTTCATTTTATTTTTGGAGCGCGAACACAGACAAGTTGCTGAAAAAAGTGCGTCCGGGCGATTTCCTAATTAGTTATGCATGTGACATCACACGGTTGACACATCGAGCGCGGGGTAAAGTGCAGCTCATACATTTCACAATGGCAAAGCACAGTGGAAAGACTTGTGCGGCCGGTGTTTCCTGAGGCATCAGTTGTACGAACAATTTTTATCCTCCAAATGTTTCTTTGCATTTATTCCCTAAAAATAAGAAAGTAAGGGATCAATAGGTAAAGTTTGTGAATGCCAGATTGGAAACCTTCATCGCACAGCACATTGTGCTCCTTGCACTTTCACGAGAGCTGTTTTACAAGGCTAAAATTAAGTAGATTGTTGCCAGGAAAAACTAGCGAAGAGAACAGCATGAGCTCTGAAGAGAGTGTAAGCACGAAGCCCAGAGAAAAACGAGTTTCAAAAATGGTATCAGTTCCAACTATCCAATGCGCTATCTCCAGTGATCGAACAAAGCGCTCGTGAGAGGAGAAGATCGCAAGCGGTAAGTGTGGAATGCATCCTTACTTTGTTCTAATAATTTTCATAAGTTAACGTCGTCTTCGACAGTTTCGTTGCCAGTTAAGAAGAGAGATAACGAAAAATCCTTGAGATAATAATTACGATTCACGTCGTATTTTAATCCAAGTTACCAACAAGGGTTTTCGGTGTTGGATGCTCATATTAAGTTTGTTTACGTGCGATTTAATGGCTACTTAATGACATCAAAAATTGTCCAGCGAGGACCAAACCAGCTTCCTAGAAGGGTTCCATTTAACCTTGAATCAGTTTCATCCTAAGATGATATGTTTCTAATAACTTGGCTCATACTGCATGTGGACTCATATTATATCAAAAACAAAAATAGTATCACCAAAAGCTGGAGATGCCTGTCATCTCCTAAACTATGGTGACATTCCTTTAGGGAAATCCTTACCCTCCTTTCAAATTGTCAGTTTAAAATTTGTGTTCAGAGCCAAAATAAAATCTAACTGCTTTGATTTACTCTTGCATCAAAATTTCTGTTATAGTCCATGATGTAGCTTTGTGTGTTTTTAGGCACATCTTAACTAGCCTACATTTTAATGAGAACTTTCTGAGGGAGCCCCAAAGGACAAAGGATGGAAAGGAGTGCTTGTTAGTAACATACCCGAAGTACAAGTTTAAAGAAGAAGTTGTACGATAAATAACAGTATCTCCCACTTACAGTAAGTGTAACGATATGCAGCAGCCACAGTTTGCAGTTAATGCCAGAGGATACTGATACAAAGAATACACTAGCTTTCAAAAGTATTTTCTACTTCTCACACGGCCAAAACTATGAATATCATGCTTTTTAGGTCGTGAACATGAATTTTAATCCTTTGTTTTCCTCTTGTTTTTCCCAGAATATGTGGACAAGGTTAGGGAACTGGTGTTTTGCATGTCCCTTGTGGAAAGGGATGCAATCTTTTCTAAGTATAAGGCAGGTATTCCCGCACCTTTGAGCTCGAAGTTCACGGACAGGCGATGTAGAGCAGAGGCTATAGAGAATTACAACAAGAGAAAGCAGACAGAAACAGCTCTATACCCTTCAGGTGAGATTTTTTGAAGTTGAGTACATAATCATACATTGTATCATTCAAGCCCTACCCATCAAACTATGGTCAATATTTTGTTTCTGGATGTTTGCCTAAGTAGGGGTTGGCAAGCTCTGGTATGTAGTTCAACGGGGCTGTCACTAAAATTTCAAGTTGCAGGATAAATACAACAATTATGCGGAGAATCAAACGGCTTGGAGTTTCCTTTGGCTCTATTAATTTTCTTTTTCTCCGATACAAGTAGCCAGAGGCCAACTTCATACTGTAGAAGCCTGGAGGAATCCCAGGCTCCTGCCTCTTAAATACAACCCTGAATCTGGAAGGCGTTAATATTGCACCATCTACCAAAAGAACACTATATCAACAAGAAATTTTTTTTTTCTACATTAAATAAACATATTCTATTTGCAGCTCAAACTCTGAGTGAATCTCAGGCATCAAGCACCCATGCTAACCAACAGCCTGCCACGAAGAAAAGAAAAACACCTACATGTAGAAAGTGCAAGCTGCCAATGAAAAACCATGCAAGAGGAGGCTGTTCTGGTGCTAGTACCACCTAAAACACATATGCCAGTCGAAGAACATACAGACATTGTGATTGGATATCAAAAAAAAACTTTAGTAAATAAATTTTGTTTGTGTTTATCATGGCCAAATGTTGAGACTAAAACATAAATTGTACTATAATTACACTTGTAAATAAGTAAGTAAGGAGTATAAGTATATTTACACTTGTAAACAAGTAAGTAAGGAGTATAAGTATATTTACACTTGTAAATAAGTAAGTAAGTAAGTAAGGAGGCAGTGTGGCCGAGTGGTTAGAGTGTCGGACTCGTAATCCGCCGATCCCGGGTTCGAGTCCCACCCTGACCACTAAATTTGTTTCACGATCGCCCCGTGTTCAGATCCTTGGCCACGCTTGTAAATAGCCAACTAATTGCCTCCGGCCGGTTGGGGTTCTTAATGATGTTATGTTCAATTTAGACCATTTGTTTCATTTGTTTGCAAGGACCACAATGGAAACTACTAGTTCATCAGTAATTGTGTAATCCTATAAAAAGACTTTTTTTTTTGTCACAACAGATACATGTATTAAGAAATGTTAACTGTAACAAGGATACAGGGATCTTGCATGTGGTATGTAGCATTGGAAAATAAAAGATCAACAACTTGAACGCACGGAAGTCATGACTTTTTTAAAATGTGGTGGCTCCTGAAAGAGCCGTTGTTGTACAGAGTTTTTACTTTGTTGCTTATTTTTGCCTTTGCTCTGCAGTGATGTAACCTCTGGTGGAGGCAGTGTGATACTTCTGCCTAATTCTATTGTATAATTATACAGGCAGGAAGTGGTTTAGTGTTTGTTCCAACCAAGGGGCCCAAATATCCATAGCACAAAAATCGATATGCAGTGCCACGACAGGTCCTAAGAAAGAAGAAAAGTTTAAATTTTTTATGAGTTATAGCACTTGGAGTTGTATTTTTAACAAACCAGTGTCATCTCCTCCTCCCCTCTACCAAAAGCATAAAAAAAATAATAACATTGAGTGAAGTTGAGACAATTGATGTTAGAGTGATCAACAAAATATTGTTTCAGGTTGTCCTTTTAATCTTTTCAAAACAATTTTACAACTGAAATTATTGCTTAGATATTGCCAATAATATCCGAGCATTATTGCTGTTAAGATGAAGTCGGTCTTAGTCGAATCACACAGAAAACATTTTGCAGCAACCTAACTTGTAAGCTATTTTTATGTACTCGAGTAAGTGAGCCTCATCCACATTCGGTCGATGCTCTTGACGGAAATGAGGCGAAGTTTCATTAACATTAGAAAGCCCACTTACTCCTTTTTCGCATTTAGAGTTCCTCTGGTTGGAAACTTGTAAGCCTGGCCATTCTTGTCCTTCATCAGAGGGCAAACCTGCTCAAGTACTGTGGTGTTTGTCGGAGCGTCGAAGCCTGGATGGTCGAGCACGCAATTACCTTCGATGCGTTCAAGGTCAGTTTTGCCATGACTGCCATGACTTCCTTACAGCAACGAAACTCCAAGGCATTCCACAGAAGTTCTGTATCGCAGTTGTTGCAACGACACCGGAATTTAGAATAAGGTAAACATGAGGAAAGACTGATAAGCGCGAGCTCGAGACAACTTAGTATTATGCAAACACACTCGCGTGGACCAAAACAAACGAAGAGAAGGTGCAATGTCAAAGTTTCGCTTTAAGTTTTCACCTACCATTTATCTACGGTTATTTGATTCTCGGACCTAGACTCCAATATCGCCGGAGTCAAACCATCTTCGTCTTCTTCATCTGGTTCTTCATAGCCTTCAGGTGCTTGAGGCTCGAATCGGTATGTCTCCTCGAGTCCGCCAACCACTCTGAAATCTCTCTCGTTTCCGCTTTCTCCTGCCTCCGAAACATTCCTAGAACTCGAGTTGGAGTCCGAATCGTCAGAACTGGACATTATATAAGACATAGTGGCAGGCTAAGATGTATTTGCCGAATTGAAGTCACCAAGAACTCGAAGATTTAAAGATTTACTGTGGATTACAGCGTGTCAAACGTGTGACGTCACTGGTGTTGTCAACCGCTGGGAGCCTTGAGGGCTCAGAATTCGCAAAATAGACGCACTTAAGAAGTGCTCTTTGAGCTCCGATCTGAGAAATTTTTGGACCATTATACGTTTTTAATTTTTTAGAACCACTTTTCTATGATTGAAAAACCTTTTTCATTTTAAAAAGGGTATTCATGAAATTCACTTCCGTAGCACTTTAAACGAAGCTATATAAACACTTATACAATCCGTAGTTGCTTAAAGGGAAAGTAGGGTCCAGAAAAAGTTTACTAGTATCAAAAGTTCGTTACTTGCATCGTCCAAACTGGCTATTCGGTTTAGCTAAAGCGTTTTAGCTGCGAACGATTACGTTCTATATATCGGCTATTTCAAATTGAAAACCGCCACCTTAATAATGACGCAGTGAATAGTCAAGCATGCTCTTCTAAATCCCTACTGAGTTGGGAGAGCGCCACTGATTAAATTCTCGACTTGGATTCAAATCCAGGCGAGAGGGTGTAATAGATCCATTTATGTTTCAAACGAAACATGGTTCGTTTTCAGGGGAAGACTATACAATTGTTGAGGAGATAAAGAGAGAAAGTCAGGAAAATGAGTTTCAAGAAGAAATGTCGACCCGCTCAGTCGCTTACGTCTTGGAAATTGCGAATGGTTCTCTTGCGGTAACTGAGAATGTATGATCCTAAATATTAAATACAGTAGGAGACTGACTCAAAATGAAAGGCGAAGGTTTTTTTCCTCCGAAAAATCCTGGTTCTGGAGTTATGTCAATAGTAATTATTTTACTAAAGAAGTCCTCGACGAATTCATTTCAATTTGCTACCTCGGTATGAAACAAATTATTCTTACATTTTCAGGAAACCAAGCTTCGTTATATAACTGAACACGAGCCATTTAGACCTAAAAATAGCCCCATTTGGCATGCAACAAGTTGGAACTGATAGGCTTGACGATTATTCTTCAAGTGCGTTAACACCGACAAAATTGATTTGATACATTCAGTTTCCAAAATCAATGCAGACAAAAGGCAAAAGTTAATTGTTAAGAATTAAATTATTTTGTTTCAGTTTTTACCTTTACTACACCGCCAGCAAACAGCCCGCACAAACATGATTGCAGCAAATACAAATTATCCTTCGCTAAGTAGGTTTCCACATTTCACTTTATCATATCGATTCAACGCAGTAGAAATAATGAAACAATATTTTGTGTCTTCTAACCAACCAACTACTTGACGTACATTCGCAGAGCTGTTGCTTTCAAAGGGTATCGAAAGTTTCATTTCAGCTCTATTTACACTGCAGAGGTAACTTCTTATGTGATTAAGCACTGTAGGACTGATGCGACTTTCTGTGGCGCGCCGTAAATAACGAAACTATGCTTCTCACAAGTCGCGACATTTCAAACACTTTGGAATGAAAAATATTGCGGTGAAGCTAACTTTAGGAAATGAGGTGAAAAACACCAATCGCAACTTAATGCCATTTTACTTCTTTGTTTTTTCGTGGAAGTATGCGATCGGCGAGATAAAGAAAATCTACCTGGTGGACTCACAGCAGAAATAGGAAGGCGACTGAGAATTTACCACACGTAGCGTATCACCATTTCGAGCTCCAATTTATTCGCCTCCAATAAAATGGTTCTAAAAACTTATAGAATAAATCAATTAAATTTGGGTTGAAAAGAATGAGGTAAACAAAACTTTCAGTTCGAGACAAAATTCAACAAGGACAACTTTCATGCCTATGATGTTTCGCTGGAAGGCTTCGTTTTGGCAGTTCTGCCGGTTTTGCAGGGTTTGCCAAGGCTACCTCGCGGGTTGTTTTTGACACTTAAATTTTCTTTGATATTTCACTTTCAGTTACCCTGTGGAGGCTTCTACCTTTTCCTTTTGAATTTTAGTGGGCATTTTGACATTCAGCCACAAGAAAGCTCACCATCGTTCCAAAAATAGAAATTGTTCCCACAAAGGTCAAACGGGTCAAGAAGGACAGAGTCGCCCAAAGTTTGACTAATGCTACATCATAACTGATGTCATATCCAAGATGGCTTGTTTCCAACGACGAAAGTTATAAAATAGGGCAACTTCAAAGCGCTCTCGTTGGTAATGCAAGGCAAAGGTTATTTTCGAACTCCAATGGAAATAGTCTTCTAAACGAGATAAACTTTTTTTCCAGACAGTACTTTTCCTTTATTGTTACAATACATTTTTCGAGCCACAAATTTTGCATTTACAGAACTCTTACCATTGAAATTCTTACGACACCTACCAGACTTCCATTTGAATAAAACGAATATTCCAATGGGGACAGCCAGTGCGGTAACTGATCCTAGCACTGCACCAACAATAAACCATACGGTACCTAGTAACCATGAGAAGAACGACCTATGAAATACATTTCTCCATAAACTAAATGTAGGCATTCCTTCGTTGAATTACGATTGTTTTTTTTGAATTAATACAGCTTTCTTTTTCAACTCAAATTGATTGCCCCAAACATCAATGCTAAGAATGAGAAACAGACCACAGGCAGTGCAATGAAGGAACAATCACTTACGTACTCTTTTAAGATGTTTTAAAGAACATTAGAATTATGGGTCAACAACAACGCATCAAAGTACTCAGTAGACATACAATGCACTATTGGTGTTCACTTTTTAAAATACCCTTGTTTCTTCACAGCTAGAGGTTCCATTTTTAACTTTCAAGCCGTGCATAAACAGTATATAATTACTGGTAGTCACCATATCAGCGCTCGACTATTGTTCCATTTTCCCTCTGAGAGAATCAAAAGCAGAGTGAGGAGTAATCTACGATGGATCTTGATTTAACATGTCTAGAAATGTTTTTTTTTTCTTTTTTTTTCTTAATTTTTCTTAATTTTTTTTCAATTTCTGCCGAAATACGAACAACTCCTTATCAGTACTTTACCGAGTTCGTGTAAGGGTCTAAGTTGAGAACGCACCACTCACCCACCAAAGGTGTTACCCTGCGAGCTTGTTTTCATCATTCGCGTAACAAGATGGCCATTTCTTCTCTCGCCGGAAGATTTTAACGAATTAGGGAGAGGTTTGCAGGGGGCTTAACCATATCATTACTAGTGCAAGACACCTTGGACTCAAACTTACGGCGAAGAAACACTAGTGGCAAAGGGATGAAAATGACCGCGGGCTAGCATGCTCAGATCAAAAGATAAAAAAAAAAATTCGGACAACTTACTATCAGAGGGGCTGCCGGGTGACATGGTAAATGTGCATGCGGCAGTAGTTGTTGTTTCAAAATCAAACCGAGATCTCTTCCCTTTTATAGCACTCACACTGAAGCTTCCAAGCTTCCCGCCCTTGGTAGCATTGCAAAGTGCTGCAATAGTATCTTTCTCTCTTGTTTTGGAATTAAATGTAAGCCCCAGGTCAACAGCTATACCTTCACACCTTTAAAAGGACACAAGATGAGGGTTAGAATATAATGGAGTGCAAAGTAAAATCGATAAGCAGTGCAGAAACCTGATGTTGTTTATGAAGTCCAGGCTTTGGTAACCATAAGGTTTACCACCAAAAACCACCGTCATCTATAAAATAAACAGGGCATTGTAATTGAACATCAGACCTAAATAGTTGGTTGAATTGCATGTTGGTTGAAAGACCAACATTCATGCAATAAGATAAACGTACAGTGTATGATTTTTTACTGAAGAAAATTACTTATGGTAACTTGCAGTTGGTTATTTCTTTTAAAAACCACATTATAGCTACTTGCAGAGGCTTACTTGGAATTTTTTTAATCACATTGAATGTGAAATGCATAATTCAAAGTTATTAGAAAGGTTACTTTTAATCTGAGTGACATCGGCCTCTACTTCCTTTTGGTAGCTATACCTTTCATCATAGTTAAAAGGAAACAACAACAATAACAACCTAGAAATTGCATGATGTTCATTCCTGTTATGTAGTGAGTTAGTAGACAAGCTTTAAGAGATGAAATTAAACAACTAAAGGTAAGTAAATTAAATACTGTTGTGATCAAAATAGTTACCAGTTCTTTGAGTCTCGTCGATAACGAGGATTGGTCTTCATATTTTCCATCAGTACAACTTTCACTGGTGATGACAATGGTTACATTAATCACATTTCCTCCAATGACTGCAGGTAAATTAGAAGACAACAGTTAAACTGAATCCTTCCCTGTCTTTGAAGCCATGCTAGAAACAGTATCCTAACATGTGCCGGGATCTTTTGGGAGCAGGGCAACACAGTTGACCCCCTGAAAGGTTTTGTATGCATTCAAAGTATGGTTTGCCATGCGTCATTTTCATCATGATGATGATGCACGTAGATTTGTCGATATTTTGATGGGTTTTTGTTCATACAATAAATTTACATTTCATTTTCCGTGAAAATAAATACCATTTCCATAAGTGCAATGGCCTGGACTAACAGGCCTGATCTGCTCTCACTGTGTGGCTTAAAACTCTTCAGAGTTATCCAAAACAGGTTTTTCATGAGGTGTGATCTCAAAATACTGGGTTTCAATATCATTTGAGAGGCCTGCTCGTATTTTCAAAACGACTTCGAAGTTTCGTTTGCCGGAAAAATCTATTACTTGCATTCTTAAGCTTCCTGGGTATTTTCTTATGCGTAAAGCTGAAACGTCATGATGGAAAAAAATTAACCACATTCTTCCCAAGGCGGGTGGACTTCCCGTTTAACCCAGATAATAATAACGATTAAAAAAAGACGAAAAATATGATTAATTATGTCAACTAAGTTGAATTGTGAATTGGCCACCGTAAAGAGTTACAAAGCTGATGTTTCGAGTGCTAGTCCTTTGCTTTGATGAAGGGCAGTTTCAACTTAGTTTATATAAATTACCTTGTTACCCCCATCGAAGCAGTTCCCCAGTTTCTTTAGAAACCTACCCCCCAACAAAAAAACTGTACTTGATTATGTATATCAGGATTCATTTGGTAATTAACAATGTTCCACTTACAAACGCTGGCCTTTTTTGTATCACCACTAAAATTGTTGGCCACTCTGCAGGTATAGTCGGCATCTTCAAAGAGTTGTGAAATATACAGATTGTTGTTGTCACAAACTAGTTCCGTGCCACATGGAGTCCAAGAATAAGTTGGCGGGGGGTTTCCTTCTGCTTCACAGTCAAGATTTAAATTTTCTCGATAGCCAACAAAATACTCAGTTTGAAAATTAACAATCTTGACAGGATCTGTAATTGTAATGGAAATGCCTTAATGAAATAAATGTATAACCACACGTACATGATACGTTCGTAGTAGACAATTACAACAGAATCAACATATCATCAGGCTTATTTAACCACTTTTCCCACTATCGAACCATTAAGAAATTAAATTTGAAACAAAGGTGACAATGCCACTTCGACAACCACGTAGATAAGCATCACTTTCCTACTAGCAGCTTTACTGTACGAGCATGCAGTATATTTGACAATGGAAAAAGTTGAAATAATTGAAATAGCTCGTACATCTGGTGAACTTGAAATCTGTTTTAAAGTTACCTTTAAGTTGACTTTTAAATCGCCATCCATATTTATCAGTTGAATAGTCATTGGCAAACATTAAATCCCACCTTTAGATCCAATACCCCATTTATTTCCTGATGTTCGTGATACTAAACACTTTTTTATCATGTTGACTCATAAGACATAGACTGATGTATTGGTGAACACAGACAATAAAGACACACAAAGATCGATTTTAGACGCTTCATACGGAGCGTCATTGTCCAAAGTTAATTGAACGTATTTGGAAATTGAAAATAGTTGTTGCTGTAGTCACAATTAAACAATTCGTAAGTATCTTATTCATAAATGAAGCAAATCTGTGAAAGGGGTGTGAACGTTTTCTTAGGCTGAGGACGCCTCGCAAGTTCTACTTGCATTAAAAACTAGTCCCAAAGAGCATAGTTGGATGACAATTTTCTACAGCTAAGGTACGTGTGTCTCTCTAAAAGTAAGCGATACTAAGTACTTACATATGACTTGCACTTGAATACGGCGTATCCAAACGACACCATTGGGAGCAAATAAGTGACAGCTAAATTCTCCATTAGCCTTATCGTCAGCAGCAGTCACATTAGAGATGAACAGAGAAGCACTTTGCGGAGTCGCCGTTAAACTGAACCGATCCTTAAATCTAGCATCAACTTCACCCTCTTGTCCGTTTGATTGAAAGTTGGTTATGCCAGTACGGTTGAATCTTATGATACCATACTGTAAACCAGGTGTCACACTGTAGTTCCATTTTAGCGTGGCAGTAGACCCTTCGTAAACCTATACAGTGCCAGCGGGGAGCACTTCTAATGGATCCGATGTTGTCACAACTGGAAAAGGTTCGTACCATGTAACTCTTCTGCCATCTGCTGGCCGGTGAAGAATTTAAACCGCAGTTAAAACAAAGGAATATTTGTACAGGGTGTCTAACTAACAAAAGCGAAATTTTCATGCTTAACCAGTTAATCCTAGGACATGCAAGGAAGGGCTGGGTGTATGAAGACGATTTGTTCGGGGTAACTGTCCCCTTAATTTGCTGTAAATTTGGCGAAAATCAGCTCATAGATTGGGGGAGATATTAAATGTCAAGTGACGTGCGTTTCAAGCCTATAAGAGGAAAAGAGAGGTAGAGAAACTTATCATCTTATTTTCTATTTTCCTATGGTAGAAAAGCTGTAAAAAAAGAACACACACACACACACACATAGAAGTAGGCAATTTTGGATGGCGTCACTGGCCCCCCAGCAGCGTCAAATGTATACCACAATATTCACATTATATCGCCGACGTCATAACAGGCTGAATATCTGATGTAAAAAAAAAGTTGAAAATGTCTGCAAGAAGCGAAAACAGGGGAAAGGGGGATTCCAACCACCTCTCCCTTGTACCAGGGTGGGGGAATGAGATTGCATTTACGTCCAGCCTACTTGCCGTTGACTATCTTTAAAGTAAACTTAACTACAAGTTATGGCGCCCTTGCGAATTCGTAAGTAAATTAGGCAGTAAAAACAGCAGAATTTTAAAATAGGACGTCACCTGTGAGATGAGGCAACACAAAATTCCATACAGATAGAAAATTCAAATGAAAAACCTTGTTTAAATCGTGTTTGGTGGCCATGCATTAGCTTATTACGAACACCTTGCTGTTGATAAACGGTAACACGCAAGAAAATGTTTGCATAACAAGACACCAGGCTTACACGAGGAGTGACTGGTTAATATATGACGATTCAAAATTAAATCAATGAGCAACGTCATGCAGGATTTCGTCATATCCCGTACGTAAGATATGTATGTATTTTGCTTGGCGTTCACACTCTTAGACGCAAATAGTACTTTGTAAAAAACTGAGAAAACAGCATATAACCATTTTGTTCAAACTCTCTGATCAAGTCTATGTGAAAAACCCGATGTCACCGATCCGAGATAATAATTCAATTAATAAGATTTGATGCTATGTGTTAATGAATAGTGCTTCTTGAAAAACTCTTTTCCTATTTATAGAACTTATTATGTTGTTACAAAGGGGCCGGAATTCTATTTTGGGGATGAGGATGTGATTCAATATTAAGCCTTTTTCTAGACCTATTAGATCAAAACTCAAGAAAATTTTAACTATAGGAAAGAAATTATCTTTGCTATGTACTACTATATGAAAAAGTTTGTAAGACCTTCAAATACAACAGTCAATTCAATTCCCTTGATATCAAAACTGCTGAAAAAGATTATGATATTGTTGAGTTTAAAGAAAGGGTAAATTGGTTCATATCAAGTGACACTGCTTTCGTCTGCATATCGGTAAAGATTTTAAACCGTCGTTAAAACTGAACAAACCTTTAAACATCATTCGTTTATTCAACAACGGCAAGTTCTCTGTGATTAAGTTTTAAGAGCTAATAACCGTAAATATCGAGAATCCGCTGACAGCTGCAACATTTCGTAATTAATTTTTTTTTTCTTAAGGACCCTTTTAATGAACCTTTTTCCAAAATCATATCCAAAAGTTCTTGGACGCTTTTTTTTCCCCGAAATATCGAAAAGTTCAAAATACGCCTAGATGACTGTCCTCCCTCCATCCCCATAAATCAGTGAAAATTATGCAACTTCGGCAACTTCGTATGCTGCAACGCGATGCAATCACGAATTTAGATTTTCTGTGCTAGCAGATGGTTCTTTAATCTGTTGGAAATGTAAACTTACTGTAAGTTAAGTCTTAATATTGACGTGTTGAAAAAGAGTACTTCGCGTCTTTTTCGCAGAGGTAAATTAAAAGTCAACTTCAGCGGCCTATAAAGAGGTCTAAAGGCTGATAGTTTCTAAAGAAACTGTTTGGTGCTGCGTCTGTGGGGGTAACGAAATAATTTCAATATATCAAAAAAGTTGAAATAGTAAATTGGCCACCATTACTATTATGAAAGCTGACGTTTCGAGCGTCAGCCCTTCGTCGGAGCGAAAGACGAAGGGCTCACGCTCGAAACGTCAGCTTTTATAATCCTAACGGTGGCCAATTTACCATTTCAACTTTGTTGATATATTGGAATTATAAAGAGGTCTGCCATATATACTTGCAAGTCATAATATACATAGTCTCAAAGCTTTATCCTTGCATTTTAGTTCCTCCAATTCCCTACCTTGACCCGCCATACGCGGCGCGTCCAGGCAAGAGTTGCGGCTATTTTGTCACAAATGCCATGCGAAACGCTGAACAACTTTCACTTTAAAGGCCTTCGAAAAGGTCTGGAATGATGTATTTACAAATCAAAATATACAACATCTTAGAGACTATAGTCATTGAAAAACATCGAATTCCACTTCTGGATTCAACTTAACACTCTTTTATCATGTTGACTCATATGACATAAACTGATATTTTGGTGCACACAAACAACAAAGACACACAAAGATAGAATTCCAGACGCTTCACACGCACCTTCACTGTCCAAAGTTAATTGCGCGTATTTGAAGATTGAAAATAGATTTTGCTGTAGTCACAATTAAAGAAATCGTAAATTTCTTATTCATATATAAAGCAAATCTGTGAAAGGGGTGTGAACGTTTTCTTAGGCTGAGGACGTCTCGCAAGTTCTACTTGCATTGAAACTAGTCCCAGAGAGCATAGTTGGATGACAATTTTCTACAGCTAAGGTGTGCCTCTCTAAAAGTAAGCGATACCAAGTACTTACATATGACTTGCACTTGAATACGGCGTATCCAAACAACCCCATTGGGAGCAACTAAGTGACAGCTAAATTCTCCATAAGCCTTATCGTCAGCAGCAGTCACATTAGAAATCAACAGAGAAGCACTTTGTGGAGTCGCCGTTAAACTGAACCGATCCTTAAATCTAGCATCGACTTCACCCTCTTGTCCGTTTGATCGGAAGTTGGTTATGCCAATACGGTTGAATCTTATGATACCATAAAGTAAACGAGGCGTAACACTGTAGTTCCATTTCAGCATGGCAGGAGACCCTTCATAAGCCTGTACAGTGCCAGTGGGGAGCACTTCTAATGGATCCGATGTTGTCACAACCGGAGTAGGTTCGTACCATATAACACTTCTGCCATCTGCTTGCCGATGAATAATTTAAACCGCAGTTAAAACAAAGGAATATTTGTACAGGGTGTCTAATTAACAAGAGCGAAATTTTTATGTTTAATTAGTTAATCCTAGGACATACAAGGAAGGGCGGGGTGTATGAAGACGATTTGTTCGGGGTAACTGTCACCTTAGGTTGCTCTAAATTTGGCGAAAATCAGCTCATAGATTGGGGAGATATTAAATGACAAGTGAAGTGCGTTTCAAGCCTTTAAGGTGAAAAGAGAGGTAGAGAAACCTGTCATCTTATTTTCTATTTTCGTATGGTAGAAAAGCTCTAAAGAAAAACATATAAAAGTGCGCAGTTTGGATGGTGTCACTGGCCCCCAGCAGCGTCAAATGTATCCTATAATATTCACATTATATCGCCGACGTTATAACAGGCTAAATATTTGAGGTAAAAAAACTTCAAGATGTCCTCAAGAAGCGAAAACAGGGGAAAGGGGGATTCCAACCACCTCTCCCTTGTACCAGGGTGGGGGGTTGAGATTAGATTTACGTCCAGCCTACTTGCCGTTGACTATCGTTAAAGGCCCATTTCCATCTGAGATCCTTTGCAGTCGTTTGTTTTTGTTTCGGAATCGCGCTATTGTTAAATGGCAAACTCTGATAGTCGTTCACAAACACTATTAAAAAGAAAAACAAGGATTTGGTGAAGAACACAGTAAACAAATTTGCAGCTAAATATCTCAGACTGAAAAATCATAAATCGAGTCTGTGTATAAAACTTGTACAAGCTTACTTGATGTTGAAGGAAATTGTTCGCCTTTAACACTAAATAAAATATGAACAAATAACCAATATGGGCCAAAACGGATTTAGTTTACGCATTTCAATTATAGAATAATGACTTGTACAAATGAGATCGCTTACATACATATCTCAGGAATTCAAGTAAAAATCAGTCAAATAATTATTCTCACCTCCAAAAAATATCCCCGGAGTCTCTAGTTCCATAGTACGAACAATGCAATAACATTTGTGAAAAAGCACTGTCTGTAGTGTTACCGAAACCCACGGATGTTTTCCTTGCCCTCCATAAATCATACACAGACTCTCGAAGTCGAATAACCTTTGCCGAGCCGGGCAGACACGGCCTTCCTCTAGACCGCTTCTTCGGCGGCATCAAATTTTCAAATGACGTTTTTCACCGTCATACATGTAAGAATTAAAAACTATTTACTGATGTGGATACTACGATAGTTTGTTGTTCGCACATGATTCAGGATGTAACTTTGAAAGCCCTAATTAGTACGTAAGATGGAAGAAGATATCAAAGCGATTTCGCAACCACGAGGAAAATAGCGTATTTTTCATACATAAAAAAAAGACCCCGCCGCGCAGGGCATCTCGGTTGGAAATGGCCCTTTAAAGTAGGCTTAACTGCAAGTTAGGGCGCCCATGCGAGTTCGCAAATAAATTAGGCAGTAAAAACAGCAGAATTTTAAAGTAGGACGCCACCTGTGAGACGAGGCAACACAAAAATCGATACCGAAAGAAAATTCAAATGAAAAACCTTGTTAAAATCGTGTTTGATGGCCATGCATGAGCGTATTACGAACACCTTGCTGTTGATAAACTGTAACACGCAAGGAAGTGTTTGCATAACAAGACACCAGGCTTACACAAGGAGTGACTGGTTAATATATGACGATTCAAAATTAAATCCGTGAGCAGCATCATGCAGGATTTCGTCATATCCCGATTCGAAAAAAATTTAGTTATAAGCAAGAGATTATCTCTTCTATATACTGCTAAATGAAATATCTTGTAAGACCTTCAAATACAACGGTCAATTAATTTTCCTAGATGTGAAAACGGCTGAAAAGGATTACGATATTCTTGAGTTTGAAGAAAGGGCAAATTGCTTCATCACTGCCTTCGTCTGCATATCGGTGAAGATATTAAACTGTCGTTAAACCTGAAGAAATCTTTAAATATCATTCGTCTATCCATCAAGGGCAAGTCTTGTGAGATCAGCATTTAAAGATTCTGTAGACCGTTGCCTTGTAGGGCAGCCTGCTTGATGTTCACGTTAAAAGAGAAACTAACTCAGAGGAGCTACAGCGCCTAAGCCACTTCATGATACAAATACGCGGTAAAAAACACGCAGATTTTTGGAATAACACGTCACCTGTGAGTTGAAGTATCACTAAAATCCATCCACTGATAAAGTTCCAGCAAAGAAATTTGTTAGAATTGCGCTTGATGGCCATATATGAACTCCAATAAGAGCTTCAAGCTATTGATGAAGGATCAAAAGACGCTGAACCAGCACAATAAGTTAGTGGAAACAGATATCGTGAATATTTCAACTCAAATAAGAACTTCACGCTTTTGTTGAACGCTAAAAATAATAACTGAACCAACACGAGAATTGATAGATTAGTTAAAACAGTATAACAACATCGACAGCGCATTCGATGTTGGAATATTCTTGCTCACAACAATGGAATACATCTAATCTACACTGACCAATATGACTAAAAAGATAAGATAAAAAAAGCAATATCTCTAAATGTCACAAATACTGTAGCAGGATTACTAATGTGATAGGGAAGCTAAAGTATTAATTACTGTCAGTACTAACTCCAGAAGAGATGAAATCAAAGCTTTGCGATAGGAAAAACTGATCACAGTCAATGTGATTATATGAAAATCTTATTAGTGTTCAATGCTAGAAAAAAAAAAAAAAAACTCAACCAACATGACAAATGATAGGTTAATGAAAACAATAACAACTTCGACAGCACATTTGTTTGCTAGAATATTTTTGCGCAAACCAATAAAATACGGCCAATATACATTGGCCATTACGAATATAAAAGATAAAAAAAAAAAAAACTACATCTAAATGTCATAAGTACTGTGCCGGGATTGCTCATGTAACATAGGCGGTAACATATTAGTTTCTGTACTAACTCCCCAAGAAATGAAATAAAAGCTTTGCGATAGAGAAAAGCTGATGACTGTGAATACATTAAAATCGTATATGTGAAGTGTGGGTAAAGAAGTGATTATCAAAGCGATCATCGCAGTAACGAACACTTCTGTAGCAGTAGTGAAATGAGACCTGAAATAAGATCTGAAAAATTTTGGAAATCAAAAACAAAGACCGGTTTAAAGCGGTTTCTCAAATATACTTACAAAAATTACCTACCAAATTTGTATAGATTATTCTATTATTCAATCATCGATTCCAATATTCTTTGCGTGTTTCAATAAACGTCTTTTAATTAACAAATTTTTGTGAAAATCTAGAAAACTGTAATCGCCGCAATAGTAACAACACATATTCTATATATATGTGTTATATATATTGAAATAAATCAATTTAAATAGCTTGTAAATCCTTGAGAGGAACCCAACTGTTAAAATCATCATCATAACCCTTCCATTCAACCAGAGCTCGTTTATTCTTACAGTCTTTCTTTACTCACTAATTCTGAATGTTTCTTGCTTAGCTCTTAATTCAGGCTATAAACACTGCCTCTAATTTCTTCGTCGTTTAAATCTCGTAATCGACAAGTGATTGGATTCGTGTATTGTATCTTGTCAAAAATAAAGATCTCTTCTGTCCAATTTGGAGTGTGGCCCTTATCGAACAACTTTCTTTTATACTTTGATATTCGAACCTTATCACCAATATTATATTTTGGTTGCTGTTTTGATGCGAAAACATCACCATACAGATTGAAATAAACTATTCCTTCATTCGACTTTCTGGAGGCTTCAGTGGGTGTAATTTTTTAATGAATTGTGTTTGGTGTTATTGTACTGACTCAGTATTTTTGGTACAATGTTAAGATATTGGGTATTGCCTTGAATAGTAAACTGTTTCCTCTTAAAGAAATAGTAGTTTCCACATCTTACTTTTAATTGCATGATTTCAAAGTTCGACAACAGGTGATTTTTCTTCATTTTCAGTTGAATTTAACTTGACATCATTTTTATTCAACAATTCTTGAACTTGTTTATTGTAAAATTCTTGACCATTGTCAGTCCATAAGAACTCTGGCTTTCTTCCTTCTTTGAAAATGGTTTTGAAAGCTTGGGCTATAGATTCACCCTTCTTGTCTTTCAAAGGCTCAGTCCAACCGTATTTACTGAATACAACAATGACCATAAGAAGATATCGATAGCCTTTAATTTGTTCCACTTGCTGAATTTCTGCGTTTCAACCAAATCTGCAGCCCATGTTTCATCAATATGATTTACAATTATACGCCGCCGAATAAAGTACGCTTGATGGGTTTATGTAATTCATCCGCTAATTTTGCTTGCTAGTTTTCTTAAATCGACAGCTTTTTCCGTTTTTCGACTTCCTTTGTTTTACACTAAGACCTAATTTCTGTTTGGTATTGATAGCATTTATAGGAAGCCAATGACCCCATTGACGCTCATTCCATGGTACTGCGTCTAATGCTTTCACCATTTTACGATCAGCTTTATTTTTGCATTTTCTATCGTCTTTACAAACGCTTTAATCAACATCAGGCTGCATAGCAGTTGCATCAGTCTTTCCAGTCAGTTTATCATATATCTCTAATATTTCACCGGTTTTAGAATTATATTTGACTTGATTTTAAAGATCTTATAAGGTCTTGTGTATTTATGACTTGGAAGAGTCCAACCACCTTTTGGTTTTGGTAGCTTATCTATAACTTTATGAATATACATAGAACCGCCTTTGTAAGGTGGATTAGTTGGATCATTCACACCAGAAGGAGCATACATCTCCATTGAATACCATTGTGAATAATCAATGTTGCCTCCACTAATCTTTTTCCTCAAATCATCGGCTGAAGCTGTCAAGAGCTTGATCGAGATATCTTCACGGTTTGCTGTTTGCTTGATTTTATTCTTAGCATAATCTGATTTGATAGCTTTTGCAGCACCTTTTCGAGCAAGTTAAGGTCTACTGTTGGCTAATCCTTTGAGAACCATTTCACCAATTGAATGACTGTTGCCCTTATCAAATAATGATTCACCTGACTTGTTTTTCACAAACTTTGTTTGCGCTATCCCACATTCTGAACAAATACATTTCAACATCAATTTTCCGGTTTTGGTCGTTTCATATCTTTCATTACCTTCCACACAATCAGTAACCTTTTACGACCTGACACAATAAAATTTCATATATAAAATACCTTAGATATTTTTAAAATAATCAGTTATGAATTTCTCATTTTTCATTGTATCATGTATATCAAACACTTGCAGAAGATCAAGATATGATTTTCCTTTGTTCATCTCATTCAAGAAATACAGACAAAATTATCCACAAGTTGATGTTTCGATATTCTGAATTTGATTGTTCTCATGAAGATTCTTTGGGGAACAACGAAGGTTGTTCCCCAATGACTGCCTGCCATGTATGTTGGTTCAGGATTGGAAATAAATGAAGCTTGTTTATTGTTATGAGGAACTGATTCATCTCTGCTTAGAACATTGTTGACTGGTATCTTGAGATATTTACAACACTCAATCCGATCAGAGTTAATAGAGGGAACCTGATTGCGGAAGCCACAACTTCAGCAAGTATGCTGACACTCAAAGGCTGAATAGATCCTTCGTCAAGACTGCTGTGTTTCAAACTTCTGCGTCGTTCATAACCTGCTTTGAATTATACTTTTTCCCACAGTCTTTGCAGATAATTTCATGTTGCTGGATCTACAACAAAGAAAGAAAAATTACGATTCGTGCAACATATTGCTACAACCAGCTAAAATTCGATGTGATACTCTGAACTCAGAGCTGTTTCCAGCAAGTACTTCTCATATTAAACGACACATTCAGTGTAAAACATATTCTTAGCTTCTACAGAAACACTGATCAGTCATTGCAGGTACGACGTGTATATCTAAGTAAAATTTTTGGGTGTAAAATTTTTTTCGGGTGACTCGAGTAACTTGCCATGCCACAAATATATAACCGAGCGAACGTTTTGGGTCGGTAGCAAGAAATTAGACACGTAAATTAGCACAATTGGAACTAACATTGTTAACTGTTGCAAAAAACTGCTGATTGACTGTTTCATCACCTTCTAAAATGTCTAAAATAACTTCGAAATCATCTCTCCGTAGCAAGAGATCGTCTACTTCATCCGCCATCTTGTTTTGAATGTGTGCACCTTCGCGATCACGTGACTTGTACCTTCAACCTCAGAGGGCTCGCATTGTTCTTATCGTTTAAAGTTCCCCGGCTTTCATAACCAGTTCCCGCTATTAACTCTGGTCTGACGCAGAAGAACGAGAAACGGTGAAAAGACTGCTTGAAATTCAAGAAAGATGACATTTATAAGTTCCTCTGGACTCATGCTGGAGAGATTTTCTTTAGAAGAAATGCTGACTCCCCAGTGTTACCTGTCAACTCTTCTACTAACATTACCTCTTCCTAAGAGATAAGTGCAAACGAAACCCATTTGAACTGTGATAGTTGTCCTGGTGGAGTCTCTCCCTCTGATGGCCCCAGTTATCCATCCAGCTATGCCTCATTACCTCGACTGGATGTAACTTCTTCCATTAGCAATAGAGATCATCTCACTAATTTAGATATTGACCGCCATATGCCCTCCGACTTAAATTATTTTAACACACATGACTTTCATACGAGTCAAGGTAATGTAAATTTTCCGTCCAGTAATTCACTGTTCTTCTTAAACGGCAATATTAGAAGCTTGCAAGCCAGCTTTGACAACCTGGTTAATACGCTATTTGAGTTGTACTTTCCTATATCTGTAATTGGGGCGGCTGAGACAAAGTTTAAGAGTGACCGAGACGTTTTACATAATATTACTATCACAAGCTACAGCTTTTTGTCACAACTACGCTGTACCGTTGCAGGAGGTGTTAGCTTTCACATAAAGAATAATCTTGGCTACATTCATTGTTCAGATCTCTCAGCGCAAGTCCAAAATGATTATGGATCGCTATGGATCGAAATTAAAATTGTTACCAGAGCAAAATGTCGTTCAGCCGCCCGTTTCCGTGAGTTTGTGAACTCGTCTCGGGTAGGTAAGATAACTTGGCACATAGGTTATCCCTGGCAGGTGGGACAACGTTTTCTCATATAAAAACCCTTCTCGCACACCCGAGACGAGACAACTCAAACAGACAATGCGTGCGCATGCTATGTCCAGACCCGCGTGTATTAAAGCTACTTTCTCCTGTCGTACGCCACTGGTTCGCACGCTTTGTAATGATCAGCGGTATTTCGTATGAGTACAGACGTTCGCATTGGTACCAGCACTAGTTAGCCATGTTTTAATAAAACTTGGATCTTGCCTATTAAAACTGTAGTT